GGAGGAGGAGGGGGGGAGGGAAAGGAGGGGGAGGAAGAGGAGGAGGAGGAGGAGGAGGCAGGAGGAGGAGGAGGAGGAGGAGGAGGGAGGCGGAGGAAGAGGGACGATAATAAACAGCAACAGCAAAGGGAGAAGCAGAGAGCACATGGGAAGACGTGCCGAGCTCAAGTTTGGGAATTCAAACCAACACCACCTGGAGAAATGAGGCCAAGCAGTTGCACGGCCGAATCCGTCACCTCGAGGAGTCGGTGGACGGGAATGGCACGGTTACCCTTCGCGCCCTTGGGGTGCATTCCCGCCATAGGATTGTTTCGGTGCTACGCGCCGTACCCGCCCTGGACCTGGCCACCCTCGGACGATGAGCACAGTTCCATCCTACCGTACATGGGATGGGGGCGTGCGGAACGGCGCCTAACGCAATCTCAAAATGGATGTTTTTACACCTCGCGGCGAAAAGGCCTCTGCATTCCTCCGGCAGCTTCCAAGCCACGCTGAAAGCGGCGCATCGGTAATCATACATATGAAACAAAACCGAAAAATGTGAAACATGATCCGTTGAATGCAAGCGCGCCAGTACGCAGCCACTGTACACAGACCAGTGGGCCCCCACGCCTGAATCGCCAAAAAGCCTCTGGCGGGAACCTCATATGTGAGTGAATTGCGAGGGCGTTTCGGGCGGGAGGCACCTCCCTATGGGGCCCGCGCTGCATATTGGTACCCCGAACGGGTCACGCGGAACCTAGACATGTCGCCAATTTGGGGTTCCCGAACCAAGCTTGAATCTTGAGGAAGTCTCAGGCGGGAGCCTCGTCCGTGAGCGAGTCGCGAGGTAGTCTCGAGCGGGGGTTCCCTCGCTATGGGCCCCCAGCTTCACGTTAGAATCCAAGCGAACCCTCGGGATCTCGTAGCTGTCGTCACTGTTGGGCTCCTCAGGAACCGAGGGCGATGCGAGCCTTCGCGGGCCAATCCGAACGGAGTCCTCCCCCGACGCGGCGATGGCGTCACCAACCACTGCGCCAGGGATGAAGACGTTGGTCGGATGGGCACGTCGGACGCGCAATAGTGGCTGCACCTCTACGTCATGTTCTCCCGCGCCACGCGCATGCGGAACACGCTGATCCTGCGGCCGCCCGCGCGGGAATTCCTGGAACGCGGGCTGCCGGCGTCCGTGCGGAAGGCGCCCTGGAAGTTCGACGGGGTAACGGAAAGCCCCAGAACCGAGGCGGAGCAACTCGCAGCGCGGCTGGACTTCGCGCTGCCCCCCGCCTGAGCGCGGCCGCGCCCACCTCGACGCCGCGGGGTTGTCCCGACGGCCCGCCCCCGCGCCCAAGCGGCCCGCGGGGTTGTCCCAAAGGCATGGCCCGCGGGATTGCCCCAAAGGCTTCGCGATCTAGCCGTCGGCGAACGCGCGTGCGCGCTGGCCGAGGCGGCGACGGCGCCGAGCAAATCGACTTGCTTGCCCCGACCGAGGGGAAGAGGTGCACATGGAAAAAAAGGGAGGAAGGAAGAGGAGGAGTCGTCGAGCTGCACGTCACGCAGCGGCCGGCCGAGACAGGCGGCCACGCGGGCCAGGGCCGCCGTGGCGCGGGAGGCTCGCCGCGCACAGGCCCACCAGGCCAGGGAGACCTCAGACGGGGAGCTGCAGGAGAGGCCTCCCGCGGAGGCTGCGGCGGCCCAGCGGCAGGAGGAGGCCAGGGCGACGCTCGCGCAGCAGTGCTTCGACAAAGGCAGGCGATTGAGACTTCGGGGGAGGCTCTATGAATCTAGAATCTTTGAGAGAATGCAAGCGCAGTGGAAACAACGTAGATGCGGCCTCGGCGGGTGCGCGTCTATGCGGCCTCGACAGCCACGCGCCACGTCAACGCGGCTTCGACAGCCTTCAAATCAATGGCCGCTCGATACGCCTGCCGTCTAGAAGCAATGGCAGCCTGCGCCGACGCCCGCCGCAGCCCTTCCTGAGCGCTCTGGAACGATCTACCATCAGCCTGGGACGCCTGAAGCACGACGCCGTGGCGAGCATGTCGCGGCTGTACATCACAGGGCTGCCCGACCAGCGGATAGCGGCAGCGGGCGATAGCTTCGGCCCAACGCCCCAGAGGCGGGCGAGCACCTGCGGTAGCCTGTCGGCCTAAAACCAGTTTTCTAGAATTCGCGATGACGCCCGCGGCTGGCCCCGCCCCCTCGCCCCCCCCCGAACTGGTCACGTTACGATTCGCGCCAGCGCCCTGTGGAAATTCGCCATACCTGAATATTCCCGGACCGCGTCGGCGCGAATCGTGACGCGACGGCCCCCCATCGCCCCTTTCACCCGCGCCCCTGGTCACGCCCGGTATGCATCGCCAGCAGGAGAGAAAAGCGGTCTCCTGCTCCGAGGCAGGGGCGGCCAGAGCCATCACCTGGGGCGGCGCAGCGGCGAGCGGGGCCTGGGCCGACGCCGCCGAGGTCCGCGGAGGGGGCGTTGTGCTCGGGGCGACGCGGAGCTCGGCAGCCACTCCGTCGCCAAGGCCACTGCCGCCGCAGCTGCCGCGGCCTCCGAGGGAGCAGGCGACGAAAGGCGAGTCAGCGGAGGGGTGCGCGGCAGCCCTCCAGCGAGCCATCGGGGCGGCCGTGAAGGGGCTGGCCCCGCAGGCCCAGCAGCAGCGGCAGGGGCCACGCCGCCCGCGGGCGCCGCGGGCGCAGCGCCCGCCGCCAGGATGACACACACACACACACACAAAGGGGCCAAAGGACACACAAATAAATAGGCACAAATCCCCGGAGTCCCCGTATGTTCCCATGTTTTCTGGGTTGTGGTGTTCCCCTCCACTTCCCAGATGTTCCCATACTTTCCTAGGAGTCGATGATTAATGGTGTCTGTGTGGTTTTCCCCTCCTGGGAACATTGGCGATTCATGACGATGAGCATCAACTCGTGGTCCAGCAGCACGCGCCGCAACTCGTTCCAGGCGGCGCGCGACTGGCGGCTCGATGATGCCGACTTTCCTCGGTCCCCTTGCCTGGTCGGCCAGAGGCTGCGACGCCGCGCTGGCGGCGAGGCGGGAGGAGCGGCTGGCTGGAGGAACGTGGAGGGCCACAAAACGGCGGCCACCCTGTGATAGGTGAAGGGGCGCGTCGTCCACGTTTGCGGACACACTGGTCGGCCAGACGAAGCACCTCAGCTGCGCGCCGTATGCGCTGCGCTCGATGGGCGACTTCAACAGGCAATTCCCACAGGCGTGCCAGGGCCGCGCGGCGCAATGCCAGGAGGTCTCACGTCTGCCTCGGCGCACTCATCCGACAGGGCGGGGCGTGCGAACCCGAACCTCAACATCTTGCGCGGGCTCGGCAGATCCCTCTCAGACATGTGCGCCCCACGGGCGAGCTCAGAGGAGTGGAATATGCCTGCGTCAGACAATGGTCCAGCTGGTTCAACCATGAAGTTGAGAGCGACCACCGGCCCAGCCTCGCAAACATGCCATCCGCCCCGAGGTGAAGCTCGCAAGTGGGATGTCTTCGCGGTGCCTCAGGGCCTGCCAACTCGTGTCAGGCGCGCGTCCTTCACCACCACCACCTCCACCACCACCACCACCACCATCATCATCATCATCAGCAGCATCAGCATCATCATCATAATCTCACGATCCTCAGCAGCATCATCACAATCATCATCATGATCATATTCACCACCATCATATCACCATGATCATCATCAGCATCATCATCACTCTCATCATCCCAGACATCACAATCATCATCAAAAGCAGCAGCATCATCGTCACCATCAGCTTCATCATCATCAGCAGCAGCAGCGACAACACCATCTGCATGATCATAAGCACCATCAGAATCACTAGCATCATCATTGGCATCATCAATATCATCATCATCATCCGCAACATCATCATCATTATCAACAAAATCAGCACGATCATCACCATCATCATCATCAACCGCATCCGCCCCATCATCATCATCAGCATCATCACAGCCACCTCCATCCCCAATCATCATCACCATCATCATCACCCGCATCATCATCATCATGATCATCATCATCATCATCATCATCATCATCATCACCACCATCATCATCATCATTTCAATATTCAGCATATTCAGCATCATCATCGGCAGCACCATAATCATAATCCTCCTACTCATCATCCTCCTCCTCATCATCAGATTTATCGTCATCGTCAGCATCATCATTATGTGCAGCATCAGCATCATCATCACCACCATCATCAACATCAGTATCATCATCATTATCCTGTTCATCATCAGCAGAATCGTCATCGTCATCATCCTCTCCATCGTCATCCTCCTCATCCTCCTCATCCTCATCATTATCACCATCCTCATTAGGATCATCATTCGTATCATAATCATCATCATCATCATCATCATCATCATCATCATCATCATCATCATCGTCATCGTCAGCGTCAGCATCATCATCAACGCCATCACCACCCTCATCCTCATCCTCATCCTCATCATCGTCCTCATCCTCATCCTCATCATCATTCAGCATCGTCATGAGCAGCATCATCATCATAGACGTCATCATCGCCATCAGCATCATCATCATCGTCATCAGCATCATCAGCATCAGCATCATCATCAACTCATCATCATCATCATCATCATCATCATCATCATCATCATCATCAGCATCAGCATCAGCATCAGCATCATCATCATTATCATCATCATCCGTCGCGCGGGAGCCAGGCCCGTCCGACGGAAGGGCGCGTGGCGGGTGGTCATGCAGCCGCCCGCCGTCGCGCTCTGCGACGCAGGCAGGACGCTTCCCCCGCTACTGTCGACTTATGACTTGCAACAACAAGTTATCACTGCCCCATCATCATCATCCTCATCCTCTTCCTCATCCCCGTCCTCCTCCTCCGTCCTCGCCTTGTCGCGGATCTCCATGCCCCCAGGCGAGTGCGCCCAACCGCCGGCGCGCAGCGTGCGCTCCCCGCTGGGGATCTCGCGGTAGACCGCCAGGGTCAGGCCCACCTGCCACGCAGGGAGGGAGACCTTGTGATGATCATCCTCATCCTCATCCTCATGATCCTCATGCTCATCCTCATGATTCTCGTCCTCATCCTCATCCTCATCCTCATCATCATCATCATCATCATCATCATCATCATCATCATCATCATCATCCTCATGATCCTCCTGATCCACATGGTCATCATCCTCATCCTCATGATCATTCTCCCTCTTTCACCCCTTGCCTCGCTGTTCCTGCTCCATCAACCCTCATCCGGCACCATGTCTCCCCCATGATCATGCTCCTTCATCACATTTCCCGCCGTCCTGCGTGCCCGTTGTCCGCCTCCTCATCCTCATCCTCTCATCCTCCTCATCATCTTCATCATCTTCATCATCCTCACCATGTTTCGCAACCGACGCCCCACCATCAGAATGAGACTGGTAATCGTCGTAAGTATCGCACTCATGATCACAACCGCCATCCCCATCTCCACCTCCATAACTATTATCACCACCATCGTCATCACATCATAATCACCATCATCATCATCAACATCATCATCACCACCATCATCATCACCCCCGACACCATCACCTGACCACCATGATCATCATCATCATCATCATCATCATCATCGTCATCATCATCGACTTCTTATTCTTCATCATCATCATCACCATCATCATCATCATCATCAGTGTCATCATCATCAGCATCATCATTTGAATATTCAGCATGTTCAGCATCATCATCGGCAGCACCATAATCATAATCCTCCTACTGATCATCCTCCTCCTCATCATCATATTTATCGTCATCGTCAGCATCATCATTATGAGCAGCATCGGCATCATCATTCGTCATCATCATCATTCCGACACCATCACCTGACCGCCATGATCATCATCATGATCATCATCATCATCATCAGCATCATCATCATCACCCTCATCATCATCATCATCATCATCATCATCATCAGCATCATCATCATCATCATCATCATCATCATCATCATCATCATCATCATCATCTTCATCATCATCATCATCGTCATCGTCATCATCATCAACTTCTTATTCTTCATCATCATCATCATCCTCACCATCATCATCTTCAACATTAGAAACATCATTCAGCATCATCATCATCCTCGTCGTCATCGTCGTCGTCGCCCTCATCAAGATCAGCATCATCATCATCATCAGCATCATCATCATCATCATCATCCCCATCATCGTCGTCATCGTAGTCGTCGTCGTCGTCAACGTCGTCGTACTCATTCTCTTGATCGTCATCGTCATCGTCGTCATCGTCGTCATCGTCGCCATTGTCGTCGGTCTCATCATCATCATCAGCATCATCATCATCATCAGCATCATCATCATCATCATCATCATCATCATCGTCACAATCGTCATCAGCAGCATCATCATCAGCAGCAGCATCATCATCCTCGTCGTCAGCGTCATCGTCCTCATCATGGTCATCATCGTCATCATCGTCATCATCGCCATCGCCATCATCATGGTCATCATCATCATCATCATCATCAGTGTCATCATCATCAGCATCATCATCATAATCAGCATCAGCATCATCGTCATCATCAGCAACAGCACCATTACCATCATCATCACCAGTATCAGCATCATCATCATAAATATAATCAGCATCATCATCCTCATCGACATCATCATCCTCATCAGCATAATCACCATCAGCATCATCATCAGCAGCAGCAGCATCAGCACCAGCATCAGCAGCATCAGCAGCAGAATCATCAGTATCATCATCAACATCAGCATCGTCATCATCAGCATCGTCATGAGCATCATCATCATCATCAGCAGCATCATCATCATCATCATCATCATCAGCATCATTATCATCATCCGCATCATCACCATCTTCGCAATCCTCATCATCCGACACCGTGCCCTCTGGCACGTTGTGGCGTGAAGAATGCCAAGGTATGCCTGGTAGGGTGCTTTAGATGACCATAAGGGACCGCCCCTTCCTCTAACAGCAGATTCTTGCGTACATCCCCCCCTACTCACCGAGTCCACTTCCCTCGTGCCCGCTCGAGGGTGGTGCACTTCCCGCATGGCAGCGGACGCCTGAACCCGCATTACATGCGTGCCCGCTCGAGGATGGTGCACTTCCCACATAGCAGTCAGTCTGTGCCTGATCCCCCCATTCCACGCGTGCCCGCTCGAGGATGGTGCACTTCCCGCATGGCAGCGAATGCCCGAACCCCCCTTCCACGCGTGCCCGCTCAAGAATGGTGAATGCCCCGCATGGCAACTAATGCCTGAACCCTCATTCTACGTGTGTTTGCTCCAGGGTGGTGCACTTCCCGCATGGCAGCGGACGCCTGAACCCTCATTACATGCGTGCCCGCTCGAGGATGGTGCACGTCCCGCATGGCAACCAGTGCCTGACCCCCCTTTCCACGCGTGCCCGCTCGAGGATGGTGCACTTCCCGCATGGTAGCTAATGCCTGAACCCTCATTCCATGCGAGACCGCTCACGGATTGCGCACGTCCCGCATGGCTGCTACTTCGAAGACCACCCATCCTTCGCGCACCCTCGAGGATCATGCACGTCCCGCATTCCCAGGCGCTGCTACCAAGCGCTCCAGGGCCTCCCAGGCCGCGATCCTTCGTTCAAAACGACTGATATGCATCCCGAGCCTCCAAGACGGCCCGTGTAGGCAACCAAGGACAGAATCTTGCTTCAAGACAGCCCGTATCGCCTTTTCGGGCTGCCGTGACGGTCCACGAGGACTCCGCGACGGCCCAAGAAGCATCCGAGACGGCCCCAAGACGACCCAAGAGGGCCTCCCGTGGGACCCAAGACGGTCTTAGAAGGCACTTGGACGGCTTCAGACGGTGCGGTTTCCCCCCCCCCAAAAAAAAAAGAGGAAAGCCACAGCGAGAACGTGATTCATGAGTGTCGAGGGCGCGGCGTCTGAAAAAATACGAGGAAGTCCCACGCAAGAGCGCGATGTCTGCATAACATGTGAGGCAGTCCCGCGCGAGAGCGCGATGTGGAAACAAAGTGTGAGGAATTCTCAGGCGGGAGCCGTCGTTGTCGCAAATTGGGGGCCAACATTCCAATTCTGAGACCCAAGACTTTCCCTGATAGAAGAGCAGGGTGCGAGCCCCAGGAAGGGTATTTCATTCGAAAAAACACCATGTGCCCGGGGGGGATCAATCAACAGTAAGTATTCCTCAGTAGTGGGAGTTCAACAACAACAACAGCAACAACAACAACAACAACAACAATCATTTTACCCGAACGCTCAGTGTTCTCCCCAGTGCCAGGGTTTTCATGCGACGCCAGCCAATACCCCCACTTCGTGGGGGGGCAATGCAAGCTCTACCAAACATCCACACGACTCTCGGGAACCACCCACACCCAGCTTCCCGCCCTATGACGTCAGGACACTTCACTTCGTGGCGCGCGGACGATCGTGGATACTACACTGGCGTGGAGTACACACCCGCAGAGGTTGATCACTTGTTTGGGCCCCGCATGTGCCCCGCATGGTGCATTTGTTGCGTATGACATACATAGTACAGAGAGACAGAGAGACAGAGAGACAGAGACAGTTGGGTTTCCTAGGAATCCGCAAGAGCGCGCGGAAGGACATTTTGACAATTTTTTCTGAGAAAACCATTGGGTTTTTGATGTTTTTATGTTAAAATCGTTACGAAACCTAAGGTTTTGGAAGGATTTCGTCTTGCGCGCACGAATGTCCACTTTACCTTATTTTTTGCAAGGGATTCTTGCAATTTGATCAAGTAAAAACAAGAATTTTCATTTTCTATTGTTTTTTGCAAGGGAAAACGAGCGTCAACAAAAAACCGGATCCGGAGCTCATCCACTTTTCTGAAGCTTTCGCGAAAAAATGATGAAAATGTAGCTGCGGCCTAGGCGCGGCGCAGAGGTCGCGCACCAGGGGTCCCAACAATAATAATTCTTTAGAAGGAATAATGTTCAACAACAACAACAACAACAACAACAACAACAACAACAACAACAACAACGACGACGACGACGACGACGACGACGACGACGACGACGACGACGACGACGACAACAACAACAACAACAACACAACACAACAGCAGCAGCATCAGCAGCAGCAACCACAACAACAACAACAACTAGCACAACAAAAACAAGCCCAACAACAACCACAACAACAACAGCAGCAGCAACAATAACAAACAACAACAGAAAGGACAACAACTACCACAACAACAGCAACAATAACAACAACACCAACAGTAACTACTCCGACTACTACGACTACTACTACGACGACTACTACGACTACTACGACTACTACTACTACTACTACTACTACTACCACTACTACTACTACCACTACTACAAAAGCCACACACAAAAACAAAATTCATAAGAACAGCAACGACAACAAGAATTCAAATAAGAGTGTTTGCTCTTATCTGTTCGCGACCCATTCAACACGTATATCCCAAGCCCTCGATACCCGCCCTCTTCGTCTTCGATCGTACCCCACTTGGGGGGTGTATCTGTCTTACCTGTAACCTTCATTTCGTGCTGCCCCTGAAGCAGGGGAAGAGAGGACGGATGGAAGTAAAGGACAAGGGAGAGGGAGAAGGATGGAGCACGAGAGAGAGGAGCAGAAGGGGGCTTGTAGCACAAAAACATGTGGAAGAACCAGACGGGCAGATTTGGCGGGTAGACCCTAACAGGCGGGTGGGAAGGCGGGCCCAGGCGGCCAGGCCGAGCAGGCGGGTTATTGAAGCGTGCGTCCTGCATGAATCGCGATGAAACCTCGAGCGACAGCGCAACTCCCACGCGCGAGAGCGCGATGTGAGATAAATTGCGGGGAAGTATCAGGCGGGAGCCGGGGCGCAGTTTGGTGACACATCGCTTTGCCTTGTTGAACACAGGGTGCGAGCCCCGGGAGAAACACTGAATTAAAACAATACAAAGCTTACTGGGGAGGGCAGATCAA